GTGGAACTCCTCGCCAGAGGATGTGGGGAAGCCCAGGACTTTAACAGGGTTCAAAAAAGAGCTCAATAAATTCACAGAGGTTAGGTCCAGCAATGGCTGTGAGCCAGGCAGGGCAGGAATGGTGTCTCCGGGCTCTGTTTGTCAGAAGCAAGGAACGAGTGACGGGATCAGATCCCTGCTCTGTTCATTCTACCTGGGTTATTGGCCGCTGTTGGCAGCAAGGACCCTGGGCTACATGACCTGTCTGGCTGTCATTCTACCTGGGTTATTGGCCGCTGTCGGCAGCAAGGACCCTGGGCTAGATGGCCTGTCTGGCTTCTCTTGTGTTCTTAATGCCAAGAATTGTGGTTCTGGTGCACAACCACACACACAACACACTCCAAATTAGTCAGCCCTCTTTTTATTACTTCCTGGATGCTGTTCCATCCCGAAAGGGGCGCACAGCTGGGAGCCAGGGCTGCAGCAGACGTGCTCTTAGACATCCTCTGTCTCTCTCTTGTCCTGAAGCAGCCTCCGGCCGTGGCCCGGTCGAAAACGAGAAACTGAGTCGAGGGGCGGCTAAACCAGACGCCTGGCTCTGTTCAGCATCCTCCCCCAGGCCGGCCAGTTTGAACGCCTACTCAGCACTTGGCCGTTGGCTCTCACATGCTCATGACATGCCGCAGCGAAAACTCTGCTCCAGCTGCCCTCCAAGCCGGGGGGGAGGGAGGCAAAACCCACTTCCGAATGTTCCAGCGCCGGAAATCTTTGTGGACACATTAGGGCCTCGTTAGGCCATTCAGAGGAGGAGCTGGGTGGGGCATGTGTCAGGGGAAATGAGAATCAGATGAGATCTCTGCTGTTCCCCCACTGTGAGAAACAAAAGACGCTACCGAGGCAGCGAGCAGCCCGGATCTGTCGTCGGGCCTTTCACTGCCCTTGTCTCACTGGCCAATTTACAAGCCGCTCTGCGCCGGGGTGGGGGAGGGAAATGGGGTTTCCCTTTTCTCAGGGTGCCGGCGTTAGCCCATGACGGCGTGTGGGATGTTACCAAGGGAGGCGGATTTGGGAGGCTGGGGGAGGGAGGCAGAGCCCTTGTGTCAGCATCTGATCCCTAGCTACAAAGCCAGTATCTGCGGATTTGCCCGGCACTAGAGATCCGCCGCGGGGGAGTGGGGTAGGAACCTACGGGGAGGTGTGATCAGCAGAAAAAGACTCAGGGATTTCCCCAGAGGCGACCTGGGATGGGACGAGATTCCAGCCCCGGTTTCTAAGCTGCTGCTCAGGAGACGTGCGGGAACTCTCCCCAGAACGCTGAGCCCTGGTGGGGTATCTGCGGATTTGCCCGGCACTAGAGATCCGCCGCGGGGGAGTGGGGTAGGAACCTACGGGGAGGTGTGATCAGCAGAAAAAGACTCAGGGATTTCCCCAGAGGCGACCTGGGATGGGACGAGATTCCAGCCCCGGTTTCTAAGCTGCTGCTCAGGAGACGTGCGGGAACTCTCCCCAGAACGCTGAGCCCTGGTGGGGGGGGGCGGAATCGGAGCAGAATTTCCCCACACGCCTGTGGGGTTGGCCCACGGGGTTGGATCTGAGGTTCTGTGTCAGACTCCACCTCGCGTATCCTATTGTCACAAGCCCCCAGCAAGCTGCAGTTCCCTGGGCTGCTGGGTGCAGAGGCTGAACTCTGCTGTCCCTGCCCCAAAGCCCAGGCATCTGCTCCTTGAGTGAGGGTAGACTCTCCAATATCTGTCAGCAGTATAGGTCCTTGACACACAGTAGGGCGGTTCTGATTCCCTCCAGCAGAGGGCAGTGAGGGATGCATGCACTGGCCAGTCATTCCAGCAGAACTCCCTCTCCTTTGAGCCTAAACAATGCCTGGGAAAGAGACACATGTGGAGTCTGCGTGCTTCCCCCACAGGCTGGGAACAGCTCCATTATCCCGGGAGTCACTGATAACCCCCAGGGGCTTTGCAATTGTGCAGGCCTAGGGAGGTGCGCAGGGCACATCCTCTCCCCTGGGAATGGAGTGCATTGCTCGAGGACCCAGCGGAATTAGGGCAGATGAAGGACCGTCCCTGAGAGCCCGTAATGCAAAGGGGAGGTGGGTCTGAGACCAGGCTGCACACATGAGGCCTCAGTTGGAGTCTCGTGTCCAGTTCTGGGCCCCACATTTCAGGGAAGATGTGGAGAAATGGGAGACGGTCCAGAGAAGAGCAACACAAATGATGACAGGTCTAGAGAACATGAGCTCTGAGGGAAGACTTGGGCTTGTTTAGTTGGGAAAGGAGAAGACTGAGAGGAGACAGGATAGTGGTTTTCAGGGTATCTTAATGGGTAGCAGGTTTAAAACTAATACAAGAAAGTTCTTCTTCACACACCGTGTAGTCAACCTGTGGAACTCCTTGCCAGAGGAGGCTGTGAAGGCTAGGACTATAATAGAGTTTAAAGAGAAGCTAGATAATTTC